TGAACATGCACATTCATGAAGACACGAGACAAGCCTGATGTTAGACCACTCAGCTCAATGCGTAACCATCTCTGGAAGGATGAAAACACAACACAGCACAACAGAGTCAAACATGTTTACAAAATAGGACAATCAGGATAAAATTACCTGAGAAACCTGCAGAGAATTTTTAAAGCAATCCAGAACAGAAACCTCACAGCAGTTTTTCCCAGTTTATGTCAGCCAGTGCGAATTTTGTTTGAGCATGCGTTCCTTTAAAGACATCGATGCTGATGTTGGAAAAGGTCAAGTGGTGCATTAACAACTAGAATGTGGGAAACTTGCTGTCTTACAGTTAAATATCCCGTGCGAGACGTGTAAGGCATCCGTGAGTGCTCCAGAGAAAACCTATGCTCACATTCACAAAGCAGGTCTACAACTACGGAAGAAAGATGTTTAATATTTAATGTTTTCTGAAAACTCAATAAGCTGTGAGCCACGGCCTTGTGTTTGTGTTTCCTTTCAAGACGTTTCCTTCAAAAATGACTGCAGGGTGAAGGAAACGAAGTGTCTACAGTTCAACATTTCCTGGGATTGGATGCCAACACAGAGTACAAAGGAAGCCTTAATCAATGGTGGAAACCACTGGAGTTTATCAAAATGTTTACCAGAGGTTAAAACAGTCAGGTGGGAACTGTTCACAGCTCAAATTCACAGAGAGACGTGCTGAGGCGAATAGTCTCTACAGTTGGTGTGACATAAATCTACATGCTCATTAGAGTAATGCGTCTGTTCTACCTGACAATGAGGCATGCTGCGACATCGGTGCAGTCACTTCCTGTGAAGTCATCCGGCAGGGAGAAATGCTGGCAGGGGCTGAAGGACAGGAGGACCTCTGTGTCCACCGGGACCACACTGCCTGCTGCCACGGGCTTCAAACGACCCAGGAAGCCGTCTGCATCTTCCATAGCCTTCAGGTTTATAACTCCGCTGCCATTCTCCATGATGCATTTGCAGCTGTTGACTCTGAAGCAGCCTGCCTTCTTAGCAGATCTCCCATGAGAGGAGGCAGTCGGGCAAAACAGGCCCAAACAAACAGATAGTGTGAGGAAGACAGCGTTAGGGATCATACTGGCGGTGTGAGCCGCAGCAGTGGACAGGGGCGAGTTATGTGCTGTGAGGTACCTCAAGCGTAGCTGACAGTATGGTGAGGGTAGAAAAGTAATTAGAGTAAAGGTGATTACCATTCCTCACATTCCTAAGACTCTCTAAGCTCAGATTAATGCCCCTGCATACACAGAAATACACACAGACAAGCCCGGCGTCCTCATGGAAGAACTCCATCATCACACATTAAAACCATTTTCCTAACTTGATGTACACAGTACACCAGCACTGATACAGCGCATACTTTACAGGACCTGTGAAGGTGCTCTGGCTTCAGGAGATTAGCACCAATTAGTACTATTACAGGTGCTAATTATTAATATTGTAGGCTCTTTACAGTATAAAACGCCTTGAGGCAACTGTGGCTGTGATTTGGTTCTATATACATAAGATTTAACTGAATTAAACTGAACCTGTGAAAAAGGTAGAGCTTCTATAGAGTTTGGATCTGTCAATCAAACACATCCAACAGATGCTGAGATCGATGGAATCTAGATAATATGAAGAGCTCGTCTTCATGTTCCTCAAACCCTTCCCGAATAATGTTTTCAGTACAGCAGGGTGTGTTATCCTCCTGAAAGAGGCTGCTTGCAACAGGGAACATCACTGCCATCAAGGGTTATAGTTGTTTAGATAAGCTGTACGTGTAAAGTCGCATCAGCATGAAAGACAGAACCCAAAGTACATGAAGCAGGCGGTGCGGGAGTGTCATCAATTTTTGCCTTTTGTATTAATTCTAAACCACTTCAGTCTGATAGGAATTGATTGTCTTTTCAGATCTATTTAAATGTGCGTGTTTGTTTGTGGCAGAAATCATGTTGCCCTAAAAAAAACAAAGTTAAATGGTTGTATAACTTTAAATAGTTTAAGTTCATATATCATGAGGCACTGTTTGCTGACTAATGGTATACATGTATGTCCCCAAACACCGTGTACCAGCTCCTGTTGTGAAAAACATGTTATTGGCTGCAGTGAGACTTCCGGCGTTGTGCCAGTTAACCCAGCACCATCACTGAGCTGCTGTTGGTAGACATGACAGATCTGATATTAA